GTTCTTCACGGAGTCAGTGCGTCACATCCAAGAAGATGGTTACTCCTGCGAGTATCTCAGTTCCAATATTCCGATTGCTTCTCCTCGAAAAAAGAAAATAAATCCTACTGCACCCCAAGTGACTTGATTATAATTTTTGTCCTTCCATTGGGGAAGGAGACTGAGTTTCACATCAATTGGCAACCCGGTTTTAGCGAGATGGTATTCCTGTGGACTGACAACAATAGGCCGTTTACATTAAAGTAAATGAAGTCTATCGATTTAGAAGCAATTATGTCGATGATTTTTTTCAGTTGACCTAATCCTTCCAGCCGCACTAGGCCCTGGGGTTTACTCAGCCTCTAACAGAAATGAGTACCAGGAATTAATTAGATAATTTCTTGGGCAGTAAAGCGCGGCCGGCGCGTAAGGCTGACAACCTTACCTCCATCTTTGAGCCGATTGTCTAGATAATGTGGGACCCTCAGCGTCTCACAACCCTATGGGCCTTCACGGCCTGGTACAGGGATAGCTTTACTTTTTACTTTTATGTCGAGATTTAAATTCACGTTTCAGTTACGTGTATTTCGACAGTCATCATGCGTATAGACACAAGAAAGGCATATCTTCTCAATTTCCTATGAACTTAAAATGTCTATAACTTTGTAAATCTAAAAGGTTACTATCTTGTGAGATGTAATGCCCGAGTGGTAAGTCCAGCAACGTTTCGGAAGAACTCTCTGCCTTCATCTTCAGGGTTTAAGAATAAGCGAAGTAAGAAACCAGAACGAATTAGGTGGCAAGCAGAGTGAACTCTCTATTTTTGTTTACCGCCTGCGTCGTGTTAATTTCTTGCTTGGCTTACTTCTCGACCCTGAATATGGCGGCAGTGCTTTCCTCCAAAACGTCGGTGGACTTCTACAAGACTACACGGCATTACATCATCGCTATGAGAAACTTAAATCGAACACAATCCAAATAAAGATTTCAAGTTTTTCGATATTTTCTCTCTATTGATTGATTGATCAGTAACTGTCAGATGACAGGTCTCTTCTCTCTATATACACTGCATAAAGAGTATGTAAAATATTTGATCAAAACTAAAAAAAGAAAAATGATAAATTAAAATTATTATAAAACGAGTTCAAGTAAAGAAATATGTATGCAAATATATAAATATTTGTCAGGCACGAAGAAAATGGATGGAATGAAATTGAGAACTCTTAGCAATGCTTATGAAATTACATTACCTTCGATATGTAGATATCCTTTTCCTCTTCAGATAGTCTGTTCCAGGCATCCGATACATAGTTTTCCAACTGGTTCTTCGTGATTTTCGGGTACATTAAGCGGCAGATGATGCGGGTTCCCTTGCAAAATACCAGCTTCCCTGCGTCCAACATCTGTGCGCGTCCGTCATTTCCTGCCTGTATAGCATACGCATAGTTTAAGTAAATTAATTGCGTCTAGGAGTACGATGAATCACAATTTTTTTCCTTGGCACTACAGCCCCAGTGGGCCTAGGCCTACCTCCATGAACTTCTCCGTTACCTTCGATTTTTCTAGATCTTGGACATACGGTAGGACTCCTTGGGCGGGTGATCAGCTCGTCGCAAGGCCTCTACCTGTACACAAACACAGAAAAACGCACACACACAAACTAAACATCCATGCCCTGAGTGGGATTCGAACCCACGATCCCGGTTTCCAAGCGAGCGAAGACAGTGCATGCCTTTGACCGCTCGGCTACCGTGACCGGCATCACAATTATTACAGAGTAAAATTTCCTTTTTTAATAACAAAATATGGCGATGAACTGGATTTATTTCCAGTATCATGAACGAGAGACGAAGGCATTAAGCCTGGTCATAGTCGAATTTTATGGAAATACAACGATGCTAAAGAGTTTTTTCTCTCACAAAAAATTGTCACGTATTAGTGACTATACAGGGGGCACGCGGTAGCGTAGCTGGTTGAGGCACTATGCTACAAGCCGGGAAGTCGCGGGTTCAAGTCCCGATGAGGTCATTGTACTTTTCAATTGACCTAATCCTTCCGACTCAGCCTCTAACAGAAACGAGTACCAGGAATTAATTAAATAATTTTCCTGGGGAGTGAAGCGCGGCCGGTGCGTAAGGCTGACAACCTTACCGCGATCTTTGATCCGATTGTCAAGGTAATATGGGACCCTCAACGTCTCACAACCCTGTGGGCCTTCACAGCCTGTTACAGGGATAGTTTTACTTTACTTTACTTTATTAGTGACTATACACGGGGTTTTGATTAGTAATTGGATTTATCGAACACTTGTAACTCGTAACTACAAATTATTATAAAACACTCGCTAATCTACACGCTTTACAAATCACTATATCATCCGTTATGTCTCAGCGTATTACATTTTTCCTAGTCGTTGCTTGATAACGGCTCTCAACAATAGGGGTTCTTCAACTTCTCTGTTCACGGACTTGATGGATGTCGAAAAAACATCTGGTTGCCTAACGATGGCCTAACAGTTCCTCTATTGTTGCTTGCGCATTCTTTGCCGCGCAGAGTTGTTTACCGTTCCGCTGCGCTGTTTCTTCTGGCTATACAATTCAGGCCTTCAGTCCTCATGCCACAATATAATACATACGAGTATTCCTGTCGTACTAATTTCAATTATTTTGTTTAACGTCAATTATAAAATAATATTGTTCAAAATATGAAAGTGGTAAATATTAAAAGAGGAACAGAACGTAATTCAGAGGGTCAACATAAATTCAAATATCGTTCCAGGTGTCGGAAAATGACACTGTCGTCCTCAGTTACAAATTTATAAAATTTGTCTAAACTTCCTTACAATTAACATCATGAATTTCCAAACATTGAGACGAAAATCGTCATTGGCGTTGTAATTTTTAAAGCGGATTTATTTGCATCATTGCATACCATGTTTAGATTACGGCAAATTAATGGCCACAATATGAGCAAACGCTCAACATAAATATACTTCCCTTTCATTACAAGAGAGGAAGAGAGAGAGAGAATGTTATGTAAATTGCGTCGCTCCGAAAATTGTTTCGCTGCCGGACCGAAGTGTGGCGTGCTGCACATTATGTAGAAGAAATGCAATTTAGGATATCTAAGATAGCGTCCATATTCACGGCGGAAGCATTAGTAATTGACGAAACACTAGATATCATTGAAAAAATGGAATCCGAGCAAAACTTCATGATTTTCTCGGACTCGGCCAGCGTGTTAAAAAGCATTAGTAACCCCACTATAATAAGCAACTCATCGCACATCACACACATGCTAAAAGATAAAATAGAGAGACTGGAATCGCGAGGAAAAAGAATCCAATTTTACTGGATCCCGGGGCACTGTGGAGTTGAAGTTAATGAGAGGGCCGACTTGGAGGCAAAGCAAGCAATCAAAGAAGGCAGAGATAGTCAATTACTGTTACCAGTAGAAGATCTTAAAACCCAGTGGAAAATGAAAGGCAAAGAAGAACTTCACAGTTTTTGTCGAAACACCAAACAGGACAGAGGAGAAAGCTACTACAGTAAAGGCTCGACTCCGTGGTTCCGACAGATACAAATGAACCGTCGCGCCTTCGTGTCAATAAACCGTATGAGAGCAGGCCACACCAGTCTTAAAGTAAGCCTAAACAGATTTAACACTGTGTCCACGGCCGAATGCGAATGTGGTGATGGGCTGCAAACGGAGGAACATATCTTCTGGGACTGTAAACTGTACGAAGACCAAAGGGCAACAATGATGGACGTCTTGTCTGAGAACAGCAAAAAGAATTACCCAAAATCAGTTACAGAGCTCTTAAGGCTAGAAGAAAAAAGATTTCTGCAAGGCGTCTGTTACTTCATAAACAACATTCCTATATTTGTATAAAATAGATATGTAAGAAAAACAAAATAAATAATTGTATTTATTATTTACGGTATACACAGATTTAAGTCAAGATCTATATTAACAATCGCGGGACCACCGCTATTATAGAATAAGATGGTTATTAGTATGTGCTACAGAAGGCCGCATGGGCATTGCCTAGGCATCTTTTTTATCTACTTTTTTTTCTTAATATTAAAAAAAATAAATGCACCTTGTGCAGAAGAAAGAAATGATAATTTAAGTAGTTATGTAGGGATGGAACGAAACTGTAGATCCGAGGTATTGCGTACTTTTCCCAAACAGCACCTTAAACAAAGTGCAGAGTACTATACTTTGTAACACCGAAGAAGAAATAACATCAACGTTTTGGTGCGCAGTCTTCGATAAAAACGGAGAAACTAAATTAGCATCGGCTAGACGGGGTAGACTGGGTGCTTGCTATTACTTAAAATATTTGGGTCGCAGAAATACCCCACCTTGTCCGGAGACCTTGCTGTTGGGACGGCTATGAAACAAGATTTATTTACAGCCAAGAATATTATTCTGCTATACTATACGTCGGTAGTCAGCTGCGTATAAGGTTACGTTCCCATTATTGACTAATATAGAGTGAAGTACGTATCATGATTTAATTCATCAGAAAGATTATGTTTACTTCCGTTTACTATGATAGCCTAGAATTTTATTTCAAAGGCGAGTAACAACTGGTAATAAATTCCGAAGGAAAAAATACGCTAATAAAACAGTTCTTAATTTCATAAAATAAAATAATTTACTTTTATGCAACTACATACCGGCTTTCTCACCATTTTAACGAAGCCTTGACCCTTAGCACAGAGTTACAACAAAAGCCAAAGTTACTTTACGACTGGCTGTTTACCGGCCGTCCTCCTTGTATACCTTCGAGTCGGACTCAACATAAAACGACCCTCTATAATGTGCATGTATTTATTGGAACGTGGTCACCCAGTTGTTGCCTAGCAACAGACCCGCTATATGTCGACGGGTTTGGATAAAAGTTCTAGATTACTATAACAACTGAATTTACCGAAATAAAAATAAAGTAGTCAGCTGACACTAAGAAACCACGCGGCAATATAATTGTGAAAAGACTACCAGGACTAGCATACTCCGTTGTCTGGATTGGTCTAGTTGTCTAGATCGTCTAGATGGTCTGGATCGGTCTGGATCGTCTGGATGTTGAGTTTCTCAGTCTCTCCCGAGGGTAGCGTTGCTACCGGTTGCTACGTTCAGTAAATTCAGTAACATATGTTCAACTAATTTTGATTACAATTATCGGAGAATGCGGCTTCGGTGCTGTTGCTAGTTTACTTGTATTTCTTGGTGTGACAACGTTCTAAGTGCACGAGTGCAAATAATTTGAGTGTTTCTAAAATGGGACGAAATAAATTACGTAAGTACGTTTGGATGTGCATATTAATGTAGGTTTCAGACTGTTGATATAATTCATATACAAACAAGTTTTATATTTGTGGAATTTTCTCTTGCGAATTGCAGTGTGTGGGTATTTAGTAAAATTAAGTTTAGTCATTGTAGAATTTTGTGAACAGACATATTGTATTATGTATACTACATTGTATTGCGAACACGAATGTATTCCATATAAAATGTGATGGATTATTAACCTGTTTGCTTATACGTTAGGTTAGTGGCGTGTTGGTACATTAACACATTCCTGAACAGTGGCCTAGTGCCATTATTTATGTTTTTTCGGTGAAAAGTGAAGAAAAGGGGCCCATTTGCATTTCTCCCATCCGTACTCTGCTGAGAATGAATATACACGATGGCCAAGGAGTAGATGACCAAATTATGCACTCCAAGCATTAATATATGTCGATAAGAACTGCATGAACACAACCTAACCTAACGCAAAGTGAGCACGGTAAAAGTAATTACATGTTTTATGGAACATGATGTAACCTGACCGACTTAAACTAGGAGAAATATAAGAAATCTCTTTTGTCATACACGATTGACCTTGACTTCACCCATGGAATGAAGTCGATTTTTCACTGTAGATCATTCTTGGTCTCCAAATATCCAACAACGTTGAGATACATCTAACCGGTAAAACTATTTTTTAATCGACGTTTTGTGTTTTGGCCCCCAAGTTCCAGAAGATGCCTTCAGTTTTATTTAGGTTTGTGGCATTCACAGTGTCCTGAAATGTAATCAAAATTGTCAGCAGTTTTCAAGGAAATCGTCTGTTTTTAGGGCCAGTTTGAAGGGCTCCTATTTTTTTGAGCTGGATGTTCAGATTCCGCAGGCACTGACCGGACATGAATGAACTGTTGAATACTGAATGTGAATACTATCTGTCCAACCATTCAAGTACTGGCAAGACACACGGCCATACGTATGTACAGAAAGGCAAACAAACAGGATCAGTGTTTTCACAATCTGAATATTTTCTCATATATACTGCATATATGAGAAGGTAAAAATGAACACACTGATGAACATTGAACTTAACATTATGAATCAAATGGTTGGGCATAACAGTAATGCTCTTTACCCATAATCAGGATACACTTGGTTCAAATCTTGACTGAGACACCAGCTATCCTGACCAAAGTTATTTTGGGTGTTCGTCAGTCCCACCAGATAAATGGCAGATTTGGCTATGACTACATCCAACCAAATCACTTCATTTGATCTGTCATTGTGCCATTCAACAGTATATCGTCTAGCTGCGGACAGTATCATAAAATAACCCACAAAGAGAAAATTCAGATTGTGACACTGTGCTGTTGTGGATGGGTGGGTCAAATCACATTGTGTGAGATTTTCGTGAGGTTATATAGGCAGGTTTACAGGCAAATTAATCCCACATCCCCAGGTATATGGAACAAAATGACCCTTATTAAGGACCAAAGTAGTTATATTACAGGAGGGATGTGGAGTTATAAACAGTCAACCTTTTACAAGACCACTTCTGTAGAAGGTGGGAAGTGAGGAGACTGGGTTCAAGCTCTTCTTCCTGCCTATAGGTCTGAGCGGCTTACTTCCTTATAAAGGGGCATGCAGTAGCATAGTTGGTTGCAGGTTCGTTTCCTTTGACTTAATCCTTTCATCTGCACTTTGGCCCAGGTGTCAACTCAGCCTCTAACAGAAAAGAGTACCAGGAATCTTCCTGGGGGTAAGGGGTGGCTGCCATGTAAAGCTGACAACAAAAACGCTATCTGTGAGCTAGATGTCTAGGAAATGTTGGTTCCTTGATGTCTCACAACCCCATGGAACTCCACAGTCTGCTACAGGGATATCTTTACATTTTTTACTTCCATGTATATTGCCTATATAACCTGACTACATCCTCATACTCCTAACTTCAGTCCTGAAGATAGATGCAGTAAATTCCTCTGAAATATTGCTGTTCACATGCAGTACAGCATAGTGTCACAACCCACAAGGTCACAGCTGAATACATACTCCTGTCAGAACCTGTAAACTTATATTCACTAAACTGTTCATGCAGTATGACCCAGTTTCACAACCCACAGGGTCCCAGTCTGAGGACCCACTGCTGTCAAAACCTGAAAACTTACACCTTCTGAACTTATGTCGATTGTAGTTGGGTTTGATACAGCACACATGGAAGTAAAGGTGATGCGTTTCATCGGCCATCATTTCTTCAGGTCAGCAGTTTGTTCAAGTACCTACATGGATACAAAATCTCGTTAAACTAGGGGGATTGAACTTTTCCATAAATATTCTGCATGGCTTGTGTTCTATTGTATTATATTTAACTGTTATATAATGGAAAGATGGTCACTGCAAAGTTAGCCCTAAATGTAGCTAAGTGACCTGTACCATTATAGTCAAGTCACACCTTCAAGACATTGCTAATTGTAAGGTCAGCCATATTTTATTATTGCTACTTGCAAGATTACTGTGATATTGCTGACAAAAAGAAGGTTTGCAGTAGATTGGTGGAATACTTTTGTCATGGAATATAGAAGTAGAACTCCAGTGCAATATAAGTCAAATGTTCTCAGGTCAAAGAAGAATAGAAATGGAATGATGTCAGATATTTTCTTATTCCACTTTTAATTTTACTGATATGTCTAATGCATTTTCTATATGACTAAACTTTCATTTAGATCTTGGACTAAAATGGCAGACAGACAATTATGATTAAGTCATTGAACTATCTTATTAGATACTACCATATTAAATGTAATGATTCTGTCTTTAATAATGTGTATTATAAGCCTATATGCATGTAAAGAACATTGTGTTTATTTTGTTGGATACGAGGTTCTCGCAATGGTATGGTCTACTGGGTTGTAACAACATATAATTCAGAGAAACTCATGGCTTCCATCATCAGGGTCGAAGAGTAAGCCAAGCAATAAATCAGTAGCAGTTACACAGAGATATTAGGTTTTCAGACTTTATCCTTCGTTCTGGTTTTTAAGATAACTAAGAAAAACACGACGTTTTGGAAACTAGATCTGTTTCCATCCTCAGGTGAGGGAAAACACCTATTCTGTTGGGTCCCTTAGAAAGAGCTAGCCTCAATCACTGGACCAGTGATTCATCCAGTGATTGAGGCTAGCTCTGTCTAAGGGACCCAATAGAATTGGTGTTTTCCCTCACCTGAGGATGGAAACAGATCTAGTTTCCAAAACGTCGTGTTTTTCTTAGTTATCTTAAAACCCAGGACAATGGATAAAGTCCGAAAACCTAATATCTCTGTGTTTTATACACCATCGTCAGAATCCTATAGTAACTACCAGTAGCAGTTAGGATGGCAAGTTCAGCAGTATGTTCTTGTGTTCAGGTTCTGCTGGATTCTTGTTTGCTCTTTCACCCTGAAGATGGAGGCAGTATGTTCTCCAGAACATCGAGCTTCCTCTGAACTAAATGGCATTACAGTGCAGAAGATCACAGTAGCGTAGTTTGTTGAGGGGCTGTGCTACAAGCCGGAAGGTCACGGGTTCAAGTCCCGATGAGGTCATTGGGTATTTTTCAATTGACGTAATCCTACCAGCCGCACTAGGCCCTGGGATTTACTCAGACTCTAACAGAAATAGTACCAGGAATTAATTAAATAATTTTCCTGGGGAGTAAAGCGCGGCTGGCGCGTAAGGCTGACAACCTTACCGCCTTCTTTGAGCCAAGTGTAGATATTGTGGGACCCTCAACGTCTCGCAACCCTATGGGCCTTCACGGCCTGTTACAGGGATGGCTTTACTTTACTTTTACAGTGCAGAAGATCTACACACTAAATTGTGCTTATTTGTTATTTTTAACTTAAAAACAGCAGCATAATATGTTGTACTCATAATTTGGTTCAGTTCTTAGTTGGAAGACTGCCTTAACAGAGGTAATTTGTGATTTTTCTCATTCCTCCATACATGGCAGGAGACTACTGAATTACACCCTTATCACTTCTTCCACAGCTTTCTTAACAACTTGCAGACCATTGTAATTGAAATGGAAAGTAAGCTTTACGAACTCTACCCAGAATTGTGTCACTTATATTTTAGGTTCTGGCTTGAGTCGAGAAGAGCGCATGGTCATAACTGTAGCAGAAATTATTCAGGAACTGCTAAAAGCCCATGAAGAAGGAAAGGATGTGAATCTGAATAGACTGAAAACTAGAATTGCCTCGAAATATGGGCTGGAAACTTCTCCTCGGTTAGTGGATATCATTGCAGCAGTTCCATCAAATTCCAAGAAGATTCTTCTGCCAAAACTGAGAGCAAAACCGATTCGCACTGCCAGTGGAGTATGTAATTATTAGTATGGATTTTTATGTGATTTATATTACTCTTCTGTAATTTATATTTCAGCCCTTATATAAAAGATGAAGTACCTGCGCTTAATTAAGTGCTGTGCCATGAAGACATATATGGGAGTGGAGGTAAAACTCCACCATTCTTGACCTCAGCAGTCAGAGGAAGTGAGTGGTCAGCTTCATGCCCTGGCCGCTTTATCCCCGTGGAAAGGGCCCTCAGTACCCATTGGATAGGAGGCTCGGTGAGCCTCAGAGCCAGTCTGGACGCCGTGGAGAAGAGAAAAGCGTTGCCCATGCTGGGACTGAAACCCCAGCCATCCAGCTCATAGTCCATCACTATACGAACCAAGCTGCCTCTGCTCCTCATATAATATGGATTTCCTAATTTGTGTTTTTATATTATCAGAAGTGAATATAAGTGGGATGGAAAAATTAGGTATATATTTATGTTGTCACATGTTAGTGACTAGACATGGGGTTAGGATTGATAATTGAATTTATTGAATACCTATAACCTTTAACTACAAGTAACTGTAACACTAATGTTAATTTACACAATTAAAAAATCACTATAGTGGACATCGAGCCTCAGTCTGTTCACTCGTTATGGTTCCAAACAATGGAGATTCTTCTGCTGTTAGGCTTATTTTGTTGCCGGCTGTGTAGGTGTGTAAGGGGTGGGCCATAAAAACCAGCCCTTGCACTGTGACCTTCAGTGATCTATTGTGCTTCCTCTTTGGTAATCACTAGGAGCCATGACAGGAGAGTAGGGAGCCTGGCAAACCTGCGGAATGCCATGCTTGGCCAGGAAACCCTGGATGAGGTGTGATGAATGAGCTGGGGCTTTGTCATGATGCAGCTGCCAGTTGCGTGCGTCCCACAGCTCTGGTCTCTTGTGCTGAACTGCATCACGAAGAAGGCAGAGGACTTCTTGGTAGTACTCCTTATTGACAGTTTTTGGCCTAGTGTTGTGTACTCATGATGCACAACACCCCGGTAATTGAAAAAACACTCAGTATCACCTTCACATTGCTCTGAACCTGTCGTGCTTTTTTGGGCCTTGTGGGTGTTGGATGCTTCCATTATGACACCTGGACATTAGTTTCCAGGTCATATCCATACACCCATGACTCATCACCAGTCATCACAGTCTTCAGGAACTCAGGATCTCTGTTGGTGCACTCCAGCATGTCCTGCACGACCTCATGGCAGAGTTGTTGCTGCTCCGGCGAAAGTAGCTTGGGCACAGATTTTTCCGCCACTCTTCGAATGCCCAAATTCTCGGTTAAAATTGTGTTTGCAGAATTTGATTTGTTTCATTTTGGTCCGTCACACTAACAATTACAAATATGAATCACTCGTCCAATGTGACCTGTAAGGTTATTGCTACATGAAAAACATGAACAGTGAAAACAGCACAGCAGCCACGAGCAAACCCTGGAAGATATAAAGAACCTCCACTTCAAGATAGACAGGTGGCACAATATCTGCCCCATACAAGAGGGACGATGGGAGGACAAACATGAGCCTGCATGGTTTATGAATTTTAATTATTGACAATGCAAAATCTTTAATTAGCATCAAGAAATTTTAAATAATTTTTAAAAACTTTACATTCCCAGGAAACTGCTGTGTTTGTGAAATGTTCTATTTTGTGTACTATGCATTGTAACATATAAGTGTACGTATTTTACGTCTAAACAACTTATGTGAAGGTGGTTTCCTATTTGTAGTGATGTTTGCCCTCTGAAGATGGTCCGCAGAGACCGAAACATGTAAGGGTGTTAAGTTTTTCATATAGTAATAAACTTACAGGTCACATTGGACGGAGTGATTCATATTTGTGTTTGCAGAACTTCTGCTGATACCAACCTCATCAGCACCTTCCCAGATGGTCAAACGACAGTCCTTCATGATCAGTGTCCGCACTTTTTCAATGACATCAGCACTTCGGCTCGTTGGCAGTCTCCCAGAATGCTGGTCACTGTGCACCGTCATATGGCCATCTTTAAAGCCATTGAACCACTCTTTAATTTGAGTGACCCCAATTACATCATTGCCAAAAGCCTAACGAATTTTACGGATTGTTTCCGCTTGGGTATCCCCAAGTTTCTGACAAAACTTGATGCAGTATCGCTGCTATAAGCATTCTGTCATCTTGAGCAAAATAAGAATGCGACGAACACATGTTACACCACTTCGCTATCTGACAGCCACAGACGCATCCGGTGGTGTTGTGAGTGAGCAAAAAATCATGCCTGCACATGAAAGTCCCTTCTACCACTACGCTCAGTTTCCCCACCCCTTTGGCCATTACTTACAGTGGCAAAAAATAAAGTTGAATACTTTTTTACAGTGGTATATGTGTGGCTGATTCGTCTTCTTGTATGCACCTTTCACACATTGGGTTATCTGTCAGTCCCAGTTTGAAAAGGTGTCCTTTTAGGTCGCAGTGTCCAGTAAGTAATCCTGCCACCGATATTAATTGATCTCTGTTTAATTTTAACAGGTCCTTCATTATTCTGGCAGAGGGTCCTGATATAAATCCCTTTACCTGTTTGAGTCCAATTGTGGATTCCCAGTTTTTTTTGTGATTTCTATCTCTCCAGTCCCTGATCACTTCCCTTGCAACTCCAATTGAGATGCCACAAGCTGATTCAGGTCTTATGAACGGTTGTTCAGATCCTGTTCTTGCCAGCTGATCTGCGGTTTCATTCCCAGCAATACCCTCATGACCTGGCATCCATATCACTTGAATTCTATTATGTTTGGCCAGTTGTATGAGGGATTGGTGGCAGTCCCAGACCAATTCTGAATTGACTTGATGTGTACCAAGTGCTTTAATTGCAGCTTGACTATCTGATAGAATATAGATGTTCCTATTTTTATAAATTCTCAATTGTGCATGCCTTAATGGCCTACACTTCTGCTTGGAATACTGTTGTGTACTGACCAGTGCCGAAACTACGTTTCTGCCCTGTTCCATCACGATACACCCCAGCTCTAGTGCCTTAATTTGTCTTGGAACCGTCTGTATACCATATTAGTCCCCTCTTTCTATCAGGGTGAAACCCCTCTTTCCATTCACTTCTATCAGGAAATCTGATCGTGAAGGGTTTATCATAGACATGTTTCACATGTTTATTACACCTCATCTGTAGAATGGATTATTTTTACATGTCCTGAATCATGTATGCATGTCCAAAACCTTCGGATTTAGGTCTCCATTGATCATTGCAACGTAGTCTGTAATTTCCCAACTTGGCCTCTGCTTCCATCTGCAAATGCAATGGGGAGTCCTAGTAGGATTTCCATTGCAGCTGTTGGAACTGTTCTCATTGCTTCTGTAATTCCAAAGCAGGCCGTCCTTTGCACTTTGCTTAGTTCTGCCCGACTTATTTTGAGTTTAACTCTAGGCCACCATATAGTGGCAGCATAGGTAAGTATGGGTCTTACTACTGCAGTGTATATCCAATATACCACTTTTGGTTTCAGTCCCCAGGTCTTTCCAAACGTGCCTCTGCATGTCCAAAAGCCCTTATATGCCTTGCTAATAGCCTTGTCCAACTTTTTTTTTATTTTCCATGTCATTCCCTTGTCTAATGTTATTCCAAGGTACTCGACTTCACTGGATAGCCAGATCGCTTGACTGAAAAGGACTGGTTCCTTAAGCCCCTTGATATCCCTCTTCCTAGTAAAGGGTATAATTACCATCTTGTTTGGATTTATAGACAAGTTTGTTCTTTCACATCACTGTTGAACTGTGTACAGGGCTGTTTGTAAGACTTTTGACACAGTGTGAGGGAATTTCCCATTGAATAGGATTAATATATCATCAGCATATCCTGCTGTGAAATGACCTTTACTCTTGAGCTCCCAAAGAAGATCATCCACAGCAGAGGGGAAAGAACACCTCCCTGCTGACACCCTCTCACCACAGATGGCCTCAGGGTCTCTCCAGACAATGTCGCACTTATATTCCTGCTTTCCAGCATAGCACAGATCCATCTGCATGTTGCGGGCTCAATGCCATGCCTTTCAGCAGCCTGTTTTATTGTGTCAAAAAGGTTCTGTCAAAGGCTCCCTCTACATCAAGGAATGCTCCAAGGGCAATATACTTGTGTACGATAGCATTTTCAATGCGTGTTACCACATTATGCAGTGCAGTTTCAGTAGATTTACCTATTTGGTAAGCATGTTGGTTTCGGTGCAGAGAATTCATCTTCAATGCACCGTCCCTAATGTAACTATCTGCTACTTTCTCCATCATTTTCAAAAGGAAAGATGGCAAGCTGATAGGACACTAAGCCTTAGCCTCGGTATAATCAGGTTTTGAGGGCTTCGGAATAAATGTCACTTTGACTTGCCTCCAGGCAGCAGAGATAAATCCATGCGCCATGCAGGCTCTGAATATGCGGCATAGGTGTGGGACTAAATGTTCCACCCCTTGCTGCAGAAGTGCTGGTACAATTTCATCTGTTCCTGCAGACTTAAATGGTTTGAAGGTACCTAACACCCAAGCGGCCTCCGTAGTCTAGAGGTAACGTTCCCACCTCATGACTTGTAGTACGCGGGTTCAAAAACCCGGCGAAGGTCATCGAATTTTTAAGGGCGGAAAATTTCAGGGAACAAGTCCTCCGGGATGGACTTTAAGCCGTGTGTCCCGTGTTGTAGCTTTACAGCACATAAAAGAACCTCATATCTCCAAAGGAGGTCACTGAGCCAAATTCAAGGACGCTTCCCGCCCAACAGTAGTCTCTAATGCCTCTGATAGATGGGGGAAGCATTATAGATACCACCAAGCCAGTGGAGGCGAACTCGCTGGCTCAGCGGGACTGATGGTACGCACCAATATCAGTAGGGTATAGAGACTGGTAGAATATCATAGAGGGAAGCACAATGGACCAATACTGGTCTAAGTGCATGGGGAAACCCACCCTCTCCAATAACTAACTACCTAACACCCATCTAATTTTTGATTGATTGACTACCTGATTAGCCAGGTTCCAGTCTCCCCTGTTCATTATGTGTCCACACACGCCCAGGTTCTGCTGGCTCTGCCCATCACCTGAATTATCAAACAGCTTTGAATTGGGGAAGTGAACTCTGAACAGTTCTTTCAGTGTCCTTTTTCCAGTTTGGGTATACTTACCATCAGGCAGCTTGATAGTACTGACCTTGTTGGTCGCTTGCTTTGCCATAACCTTCATGAGTCTGGCACTGCCCGGTTCATTGTTGATCTGCTGGCAGTACCTCCTCCATGAGGATTTGACTTTCCTTATTTCTGTATTATAACAGGTGAGGATTTCCTTGTAGGTGTCCCACTGCCCTGTTCTGTTTGCTATGTTATATAGCTCTCTTGTTTTAGCTCTTACCCACCCAGCTCTTTATTCCACCAAGGTGCATTTCTTGGTAAGCGAGTTTGTTGTCAGCTCACTGCCATCTCACAAATCATGGCTACTTCATTACTCCAGCTGTCAAATCTCAAAAAATTAACTTCAAGCACTCAATTTGTACTTAAGACCAAATTTTCTTCTGTCTGACAGTTTAAGGTTTATTGATGTGGGGGCACCCTCTCTGGCAAGAGAACTGTTCTGTCTTTTACAATGTACAGTGTACAATATGTTTACATTTTACATGTTGTCACATGAATGTATATACATGGAGCGGCTATAAAATAACCAGCATGATTTTTTTTTGCCAACTTCCTGTGGCCTTGGCAACAGCCAGCATGGTGGCATATTAGCCTGTCCTCTCCTCTCCATCAACCATACGACTTCCAAGGCCATACGGCCAACAGTGTGGTAGCAGCCTTTTTTTGAAGCGGGCCATGTATCTGAGCTCCATCAGAATTATGTTAAATGTTAGAGTAGAGTAACGTGTCAATGTGAAATTCCTTGCAAAACTTGGAAAATCCACTACAGAAACATACAGTTTGTTTATGGAAGTTTATGGTGATGAATGTCTATCTCGTACTGAAGTTTTCTGAGTGGTTCAAAAGATGTAAAGAGGAAAGGGAGAATGATCAAAGAAGATCCACGTCCTGGTCAGCCTTCGCGTCAAAAACAGATGCTAACATTGAAAAAGTTTGTGAAATTGTTAAAAAAAATTGTTCCCTGAGCATTCAAGAAGTTGCTGAATTCGTTAGCACTGATAAAGATAGTGTTCAACAGATTTTACATGAACATTTTAACATGAAAAAGTGTGCTCGAAGATGGTGCTGAGAATCCTCACTCCTGAGAAAAAGGAAACTCGAATGAACATTTATGCTGACATTCTTCAAAACATTGATAATGATCCAAAGTTTTTAGGAAATGTAATAACTTGTGATGATTCTTGGTTTTTTCAGTATGACACGGAAACTAAGAAGAGTCCCAGGTCACCAAGAAACAAAAACACAGAAGAGCAAATAAAATTTCAAAGCATTGATGATTGATTTTTTCCTTTGATATCTGAGGGATTGTTCACATTGATTAGGTGCCTGAAGGTCAGACCTTTAACCAGGTCTACTGTAAGGAGGTTTTGACAGTCCTTTGTGAAAGGGCAAGAAGAAGAAGACATGGAATGTGGAAGAAGGGCTCATGGATTCTTCACCATGACAATGCACCGGCACACAACGCACTGTCTGTCAAGATGTTTCTATCAAAACACAAGATCCCCGTGTTGGGACATCTACTCTACTCACGTAGCCTAGCCCCGTGTGACTTTTTTATTTCCAAAGATCAAGTCTGCATTAAAAGGAACCCATTTGGAGTCGATAGATGCAGTGAAAGCAAAGGCGACAGAGGTAATGAAGAAGATGTCAGAAAAGGACCTGCAGCATTGGTTCCAACAGTGGAAAATTAGCATGGAGCTGCGTAAAGGTCAGGGAGGGGACCACTTTGAAGGTGATAACTTTTCCATTGTGTGATTAGTTGAATAATAGATTATAGAGCATCAGTTTGGTTATTTTATAGCCGCACCACATACAATAATTACAAGGCTTCTGACTGGACTGTAGAAGTCACAGATTAGGAGGTAACATTTTCATTTGTTTATTCACATATATTTTAGGGGAGTTTCCAGTGTGGTCTTTTTTGTTCGTTCCCCTGCGCTGCCTTAATCCACTGAGTTCAAGAAATGATCCATTGCCATATAGTGCATCATTCAGTTTTAATACACATCAAGAAGTAATCTTCTCCTTTCACTACATCATTTGACTTCATTCACTGGTCTGTGAAGATACATTTTGTGTTCTCTTACCTTAAAATTGAATGATTTTTAGGAAAATGGTGAGAAAATAATATGCAGTGAAAGGATTAATGTTACATAATATGTATTAGTCTTCTGTAGTCTATATTTCACCCTTCATAACCATTCACTCTTTTGTACTATCAAAAATGAACGTAAGTTGGAATGGAATATGCTGTAAATTGGATTCATTACAGATATATTACAAAACTAATCTTATCTTATAACTGAACGTTAATTAACACTTTTAATGGGAACATACATATTGTTAATTTGTATACTTGAAGCTGAATGGGAAATGGATCACATTTGTCTGCAGTAGAGTGTCAGTGAAATAAAAACGGAAGATAACATTTTGTTGGTGTGAGGTACAGTAAATGTGTTTACCTCATGTGTATAAGTTATCTGTAACATGTAAGCAACTGCCACACATGAAGTCAAAGAATTTGGTTGTGTTGAATTTTGTTATTTGGAGGCTCTTATGTTTACCATGTATGGAGATTTTGAAGATTTTACTGTGAATGATGTTAAGTTTTGTCAGCGATTTATACCAGGTTCATGGCTCTGCATAGAACTTCATGGTCATCCCATGTACATACACATACTAGTATGTATCATTACTCTAATGGAGTTTTCTTGAATGTAGTAACAGTTATATGCCAGCTGTTTACTGGCTTCCTTGCCTGCTGCACCATGTACATGGGGCAGAAGTGTGGCAGGAGCAGTTGGTGTCGGACATTTCCTTCATACTTTGTGATATATGATTAACCTTGGCTGCCTTACCTTGGAAACATAATTGACTGTTGGTTGCTGAATGCTGTACAACATTCAAGGCCATCTGAGTGGTAAAGTTGGTTTCATAAAAATTGAAATTTCTCTTTTAGGCCCTGAATGAGTGACCATTATTTTCCATTATTTTCAGTTTTATTTAGGGGTGTGGTCTCCATAAAAGTACCAACTTTTAATGATGATTGGTGAGAACCATTTTCAAGAAAATTACCATTTTGTGTTTTGGAGTCCATCAGAAGAGCCCTCAGTTTCCTTTCTCTGTCCCTTTCCTCATGATCATGATGATGAGAGCAGTAAAAGAATTCACACTCAAGTATCTAATATTTTAAGCGGCCTCTGTAGTCTAGGGGTAACGTTCCCACCTCATGACTCAAGGTACGCGGGTTCAAACCCGGCGGAGGTCATGGAATTTTTAAGGGCAGAAAAATTCAGGGAACAAGTCCTCCGGGAGGGACTTTAAGCCATGTGTCCCGTGTCGTAGATTTAAGGCATGTAAAAGAACCTCATGTCTCTAGGAGACAAGTTTCCAATGCCTCCGGTAGATGGGGAAAGTATTAGGTACCACTGCCAGTAAAGGGCCAACCTCACTAGCAGAAAGGGGCTGATAATGGGCGCCAGTACCAGTAGGGTATGGCGACAGTAGAAATTAAAGGGGGATGCACACAATGGACAAATAACTGGTCTAAGTGCATGGGGGAAACACACCTCCTTCAACAATGAATGAATGAATGAATGAATCTGATATTTTAAACTCTAATTTTCAACCATAACACCAGAAAAGGAAACATACAAAAAAGCATTTCTTGTGAAAGCAGCACTGTACTTTACACGTTGCACGGCTCTGTCTGAAGAAAAACGCAAGGTTAATATCTGGCTTTCTTTTATACTATGTGGGTAATGCTTATAAGAAAAGAATTCATAGCAGCTGCTAGTGTGACATTGACATGATCAATAATTATGTGGCACAATTAAAATTATGAGTTATTTTATATGGTCACTTTCATTTTATTAGGGACACATTGCATAGTTGCCACACCCGTGTTTTATAGTAAATTGTGCAAGATAGTTGAGCAATTACATAAGTAAATTTGTATACATGTATGTCTTTGAAGAAAGCACTGGCAAGGAAAAGGGTGACACACTGCATCTAAAGAAGTGAAATTTTCACAGCTCTTGCTTGACTATCCCACAATCTCCTTTTGGATCGTGTCTCTGTTGACAAAATTCATAGACCTTTCATCTGACATCAAATTCAAATTGTGTACATTGATTGGCCATAGATATTGATAAGAAACAGGGAATGAAAATATTATGGGTCTACTGTTATTAACATCTGATAATGTGACCCTTCATTACTTATACTTAAAATTATTTATTTAATTTTAGTTTTGTATTTGCAGATTGCAGTTGTCGCTGTGATGTGTAAACCACACCGTTGCCCTCATATCAGTATGACAGGAAACATTTGTGTGTACTGCCCAGGAGGGCCTGATTCTGACTTTGAATATTCTACTCAGTCATACACAGGCTATGAACCAACGTCAATGAGAGCAATTCGTGCTCGATACAATCCATATCTTCAGACTAGACACAGAATAGAGCAGGTATGTTTGTAAATGATACATGGGTGGAAAATGCAGTTGTGATTAATTATATTTTTACATTCAGGAGACCCATTGTTTCTGCATTGTGGTTATGTTAATGAAAAATGTCACATGTATTTAATTCATCTAAAAAGTTACTGAAGACTAAACATTTTGAGTCCCAGGCTCACAAGATACACATTTTACAAGACGTCGAGAAGAATGACATCACAGAACAACAGAGTGAGGCTATTGTACTGTTTCCACATGACCTATTAACCTTTATTGCCTGTGTGTCCCATTATTGTTGCTCCCCCCCTCCTCCCAGTCCAGTAGTTGGTCATGCGTTACATTACATTACTGTGTCAGTACACTAGAATACTCCTTTATTTATAGCCACCATGTAACATTTCTGGTCCTATAATGCTTTTTTCCACTCCTTTAAATAGACTTCTGTTATATATCCCTACTGTGAGTTACATGCACTATTCCTGCAGGGTCAGTCATATCCAGTCAGTGTGATCACCCTGTCAGTCTACTTTCCCACATTCCACTATATGTAGCCAGCTGTGAGGTAGCTTTGGAAATGAGTCAGAATAAAGATGAAAATAAGTACAGATATTCTCACATGTTTGTTGGTGGGGGGAACTGAGTGTAAGAGGTGAAGACCCTCAGTCATAGGAAGAATATGCTGGTGGGAAAGTGACAGAAATAAACATTTATCCCCCCTGGTTTATTGTAGAGTGAATGTGGGATGGAATGAGTGGGGTACAGGTCACCAATCAGAAGTACTGGACTATGACATGCCAGATTATTATCTGCTGAGAAAATGGAGGTATTAAAGTGTTCTCACAGTTTGCAGTTGAGGGGAATGGTGAATAATGGGCTTCAACTGCATTATCTTGTTAGGAACACTGAAATACCTAATTGTCATTTGCTGTGGGAAAGAGTGGAAGGCCTGTATTAGTACTCTCAACAGAATATAGTTTCTCCCTGTATAATAATGGAAATTGTTATGGCTAAAGAAGATACTGAGCAGGATCTCATTTTCACAAGTGACAGATCAAGCAGTTTAATCTGAAAGTGAACATGACCTTCATTAAGATGCAGTGGCAGCAGTAAAACAGGAAGTTGCAACAGGGTGAGAATCTTACCACATACTGTTAGAAAGCATCACCAATATATTTCAGTGAAACACATGTACTGAATATGAGAAACCATAGTCAGTAATTAAGGGGCTTTAAAAGTCATACAGTTGATTCTCACACAGATAATCAAGAGACCACTGTATATCAGAGTCAAATTTCTCCGATTATTTCTGTCTGGTTGGTGTGCAGCTGTCACCATTTTTCATAAAGTAAAGAGCATCTGAAGTTTTATCTCAGTTCAGAAAATTATTTCTTGGAATGGCAGTGATATTGAGACATTGGTGTGTGTGTGTGTGTGTGGGGGGGGGGTTGCATGTGACTGCACAATATTGATAAGAGAGTGCTACCACACAGAGAAAGAAGACGTGTATATGTTTCAGTTGAAACAGCTGGGTCATAGTGTCGACAAAGTTGAGTTCATTGTAATGGGAGGAACATTCATGTGCCTTCCTGAAGATTATCGTGACTATTTCATACGGAATCTGCATGATGCCTTATCTGGACATACCAGTAATAATGTGGATGAAGCTGTCAAGTAAGTTTATGCTACATTTTAAGTTTTATTTGAGTGAAATGTAAATGGCATTAATACATCTACTGACATCTTATGTTGTTATAGAGTATGGCTGATAGCTGGACCAACTGTGGTTTATGAATTAGTTTTGGTCCTTCAGGCCCACAGAATTTTGTGCCGTAACTCGTGAAAGCTTAAACTACACACATGGAATATTTGTTGTTAATAATTTTCAGTTATATACTTTCTCCATTGTGGCATTTCAAGATACCTGCTTTCCATAGAATGCCTCTTTATGCTATATAGTCTGATTATGTGGCAGCATCATTAAGTGAATGCAAATAAATAGTAACAGAGCATGTGTTCTTCTTTCAGATACTCTGAGAAAAGCAAAGTAAAATGCATTGGCATTACTATTGAAACAAGACCAGATTACTGCCTGAAACGTCATCTGTCTGACATGCTGCGATACGGGTGTACTCGACTGGAAATTGGAGTGCAGTCAGTGTATGAAGATATTGCTCGGGACACAAATCGAGGACACACGGTGAAGGCTGTCTGTGAAAGTTTTCAACTAGCCAAAGATGCTGGGTTCAAGGTGGTTGCTCACATGATGCCAGATCTTCCCAATGTTGACTTCGAAAGAGATGTTGAACAGTTCATTGTAAGATTCTTTAGCCTGTCTCTGTGACTTATCAGAGTTCATTACAGTATTAATGTAGAATTTGGTCTTCTCATGGACCTAAGTCAGAGAAAAGTGAAAAGTAAATTTTATACTTGTGATAACATATGAGTAGACATTGCATAAATTTAGCTGAAGGAAAATTGAATACTGCAACGCATCATTTGTGGATTTTGTGTATCTGCAGTTTCCCATTTATATTCACATTTGCTAACCATAATATTTTCTTTTATGTAACCACAGTTCTTAACTTATGCATACACAGAGAAAAAGTGTGACTCAAGAAGAGAATATAGCCATCATCATGGACTTCAGCTGTCATAAATCATATGTTATAAATGCAAATAACAAAATTGATGGGTTTGCACTTGTGAGTGGTATTTTTTTAACATGTAATTGGTCTTTGCATTTTCTATGTGTTGTGAACAGGCATCTTCTGCGTTGATGAGTGTTAACATCAGCCATTACTTCCCTAGCTCCAATAAAGTGTTGCCAATCATGGTTTTGCTAACTAACATGTTTTGAGTAACTGAACCCCTGCAGCTGCTGAGGGACTGCTGTATTCTTCTAGTTTCTGTAAAATGAATAGGAGTCTTTCCAAGTTGTTCATACAAATATTATATTTCTGGACATTATTCATCATCCTGTTTATATTTCAAAACACAGCATTTGAGACAGTGGGTTCTCTCTCTGTCTTCAGGTAAAACCTACTAATTTGGACCCAGTTGATAGAGCTAGTCCCTATATCCACACGTCTGTACCAGCACCAAGATAGGGTATACAGGCCAAGCACAGCACAAACCATCTGTGAGGGCTAAGACAAAACAATAAAATATTAAAAACTCTACACATATGAGACCTTGCACCAGAGAACTATCAGGATAGAAATCATTGCTTAAGAGATGAACTTCTCCATATGGTACCCACACAAGAAAAACAAATTTTCCCACTCAATCTACACTGGATAGAGTCATAGTTTTTGACTTCTGCTGTGATAACAGGGTTCCAGATGGGAGAGAGGTTCAAGCTGGGGTGACTGATCGGATGGCCCAGCAGAGACATATGGGCTGATTCCTTGTATTTCCTGTATGTGGTGTTTGGTTCAGTCTTCAAGACCTTCGCTTCATTCCAACATACTTTGTGGTCTTTTTCTTACACATGTTGGGCTAATTTTGATTTTTCAAGCAGACCTGACACAGGGTCTGCTTGTATTATCCATTAGTATCATGTCCTTAACCATCAACAGTCCACTGAGTAGTAGGAATTGTAATGGAAACCCATAATGTGTGAACCACAAGTTATTAAATTTGTTTTGATTTTCTCTTTTTTCTTCTCTAGTTAGGACTTTTTACCCCAAATTTTCCTCAGTCTTTGGTAATATTTTCTAGGATTCTATAGAGCTCTGTATTCCATGGTCCAGCGTTCGTCAATCCATTGTATCACATTCCTCACTTCATTCACTCTGGGGAGGCCGGTGTTTCTACATTACCAGTTCCTCCTCTGCTTGCAGTCTCTTTTTCCGTCGGTCCAATCCTTGTCTTGTCATAGGCTGACAGAAGATCCGACTATTTGCTTTCTGATCTTCACGCTGGCAGTCTCATAGATGGTTTTATGAGTTCTTCTCCCTCCTAGGTGGGATCGCTGTCCTGATCTACACCCTCCGATGGCATTCTTGGTTGGCACCTTTTTCTTCTGGCATAGCAGCCGTCTGCTGCCTATGTTCTTTATTCCCATTCTTCCTTTGTGGAGAATCTGCACTCTTTCTCTGAGTCTCCGGATTCTTTCCTCATACTTGGTCCTGATGTAGTTTCTCCTACCGATGCTTCTCGCACCAGGCAATTCTTGGACGACCGGACATCTTTCTGCCGGTCTCCTTTGTCTGCCATGTCACTTTCGCACGGCAGCTCGTCCCTCTGCGGGTGACAGCCAATTTCGTCAGGGTTCCACAATTTCTTTGGGTCAGAATTTCCTTGAAGATGTTACTCTTGCGCCATGCCACTGTTGCACGGCATGTTGTCTCTCTGCGGGCGACGGCCAATTTATTCTGGAGTCCATAATTTTCTCGTGTCAAATTCTTCAGTTTCTGGTGGCGGCGCTCCACAGCCAGTTTTCAGTCCCTATGCCTTTTCTTCTTCGGTTCTATGACCGGCATTACTTTGGCGTCTTCTACGGGGACCTCTCGTCATTCTGCCGCCTCAGGTTTCGTGTCCACTGAGGTTGGCTCTTCTTCTAGATGCGCCTCCATCTTTTCTTGGCAGGCCATCGTCTCTTTTTGGGTAATTGGCATCATTTCTTCTTCGGGTTCTCTGACCGGGATCACTGTGGTGGCTTGTACGGGTGCTTCTTGATGCTCCACTATGGACTGCATCATTTCTGAATCAGGCTCAATCTTCTCTTTATCTGCCTCCATCGCTTCTTGGCAGGCCATTCTCTCGTTTTGGCATGTCTTTAGGGAGTGCATTGCAACCTCTTCATTAGGAATCTTCTGCCACTCCACTATATCCTGTTTTTCTCTTGGATTTGTTTCCATTGCATCTTGGCAGGTTGTTGTCTCTTCCTGCCACACATTCATATTGGCTTTCAACCTCTTGTCTCGCACAGCAGCTGTCCTTGCTTTGTTGGCTCTTGTTTCTGCTCAGAAGGCTTCTGTTTCTGTGGCCATCTCTTCTTGCCAGGCTTTTCTATTGGCCTTCATTTCTTCCTTGTCAGTTTTTCGGTCGGCGTCCATTTTCGCCAGGAAATCTTCTTTGTCGGTTTTTCTATCGGCCTTTGCTTTCACCAGCATTTTGATTATTCACTGCATATCTTGCTTCTCCACCTCTTTTTTGTAGGATAACACTCGATGTACTTGTGAATTCAATAATTCCTCTTAAACTGAGGCATGTTTCAGTTCATAAACACTTCTGACACCAATGTAACGTGTTTTGCTACTGAAGACGCAGTTCAGATTGTTAATTGGTTTATTTAACAACCTACAAGTCATAACTACAAATACTTATAACACTGTTGTGCGTTTAGACAATTTACAAACCTCACACAATAATCTCTTCAGTAGTCTTCACGTATTTATAACGCGGGAGCTATACAAGTGTCACTGAATTACACACTCCCAATACCTTCTCAGTTATCACCAGCTATCACTGATTATCACATATAAACTCTTCTTATCACGCATTCAGTTCTTCTTCTTCCACAGCGGCTAGACTTACGTCTTCTTCTCGTTCACAATTCACCCCGCTGAAACTGAACTTGGCAACTGCTAGCCTTCAACTGTCTTCGGCGGCTGCTACATTTTAACTCTCTTCTTACGCATTCCATTCTCCCTTATAAACCCTCAGTTGTACAGCGGGAAACCCACATCGCTTCACTGTTGCGTAAACAGGCGTTGCTGGGGAACACTGCCAAGAGTTGTTTATTGCTGCATAGTAACTGCAGTGCCCCCTGTTACGTCACTGCGGGGGAGGGGTGTTTACCAAGCATTGCGTAATGATGGAAGAAGTAGGGGTATGTGACGTCACTTGCGAGACCACAGAGGTCATGTGACCCCTACTTCCTGTTGCACCATCCACGTCACACTATCTATGTAGAGTCTTCTGCTTACTAATGTCAGAACCCATGAATTGAGTGAAATGTAGTAATGAGTAGAATGATTGGCAATGATAGAAAACACATGAATGTCAAAATTCCTTTATGTATGTGAAATTCAAATGTATGAACCAGTGCTGCAGATTTGTTTCCTTTTTATGTGTGAATTTTGACATTAAGTTAAACCTTATTTAAATGTATGATTTCTCTTACATTAAGGAATTCTTTGAGAATCCTGCATTCAGAGCTGATGGTCTGAAGATATATCCAACATTAGTTATAAGGGGAACAGGCCTGTATGAGCTTTGGAAGACAGGCAGATACAAGAGCTATCCACCCAGCACCCTTGTTGATTTAATAGCTCATATCCTGGCTCTAGTTCCACCATGGACAAGGGTTTACAGGGTTCAGAGGGATATCCCTATGCCACTAGTCAGGTGAATATTAGCAGCTTTTTATTATATTTTATTATTCCATAGAATGTTTTATAAACAATGTTTATATGGCTGTCAGAAAGTAAGTCTATAAGGCATGTAATTGGAAGTTTTTTTATTACAGTCTCTGTTTTGAAAAGATAAGGGTATTTATATTGTCATCCCACTACATTTCAACGTAGTCTCTCCAGAAATTGGGACACTTATCAAATTGTATAAGATTTGTGGTTTTCATGGCGGTGACTATGAAGGAAGCAGTCTTCAGGGATATGGCACCATGTAGATATTGTATTAGTCTGTTAGCACCTGCTCACTCTGGTTCCTCAGTCACGGATTTTCTTCTTTTTTCTTCTACCCTGAAGGTGGAGGCGATACATTCCTCTGAAACGTCGGTTAACACAATATCTACATGGTGCCACACCCCAGAAGACTGCCTTCTCTCACTTACATTGTGTGTGTTGTTGGAAGTGTGCATAAGGCCATTCAGTACAAAAGACGTGGAATGCTGACATCCAGTATAGTGCTTCTCCATGACACTGTACGTCTGCATACAGGTGCTTGCACTGAAGCACTGCTAGAGCATTTCAAATGGGAGTTGCTTGACCAACCTCCTTATAGCCATGATGTCGCTCCAAGTGACTGCCACATGTTTACCCATCAGAAGACCTGGATGCGATCACAGCACTTCTAGAGTAATGAGAAGTTGACGGAAGGTGTCAAAGTGTGGGTGAGCTCACAGGTGGGAGACAAAAACTTATTGAGTGCCTCAATTCTGGCATTGACTACGTTGAAAAGTAGCTTAAGTATATACATATTTTCTGTATATAATGGAATCTTTCCCCCCCCCTTGTTGCTGCTTTTGTTAACACCTCACTGGAGGTTACTTTCCAAATAGCCCTCATGTATAATATTGTCGCGTATCGCGGGGTATATCGCGACAAATAAGCTCACGATGTATTTTATATAGCGAACTTTATTTCACATCCGCTCTCACAATCACTCAATATTACAATCTGACGATTACTGCTATCTGCAGTATCACAAATATTACACTCCAAATGCCAGAATACAACTGACTGGCTGACTCTACGTCTCGACTCGGCGATACCCACGGTATAACTGTTGCCGTACAACTCTGAACTGTGAATAGCCCTCGCTGCGCCTCATGTAGCCTCGATCGGACAATACGGGAAAACGGCCACGTAATAGGCACTCTTGTTGCCTGGCGCTGTGTTGCTATGTAACGCTAGCGGAGGTAACCGCTGTTACTATCGTAACGTCGCCGCTGTTGACTCGTGTTGCCTAGCGACCGCGATATCCCTCGGTGACGTCACATCGGAGGGGTGTGGTGGGGCGGGAACTCGCCTATTATCGTAAGAACGCGAGCGTTACGTTACCGCCACGTACCGCTGGGGAGGTAGGGGTGATCCATGGCTCAACACGTCACAATATATACAAATACATATTTGTCTCTTACTTAAACACATCTATGATTGTTTCTCTGGTGCACAGATATCCAGAGTAAAGTGATTTCTAATTACCATATTCCATGCTATCAGTACATCCAGTTCTTTTGTCATAATTTAAATTCTCATAGCCATTGCACTAACCCTGTTGACTCTTAAAAGTTGTTTCTTGTGGCCGGTGGAAGGGATGTGAATTAACCAGTACAGAATTAGATTCTACAGTGTAATAAAAAATGCAAATCTGTCATTAAAGTTAAACGTTTTATTACATATTTGTTAATTTTATGTGATCACTTGCCCACATTTAGCTCTGGAGTGGAACATGGAAATCTTCGTGAATTGGCATTGGCCCGAATGAAAGATCTAGGAACAGACTGCCGTGATGTGAGAACCAGAGAGGTGGGCATTCAGGAGATCCACCATAAAGTCCGACCGTATGAGGTGTGTTATACAAGGGAAGATATTACTGATATTAGGGTTGCAGTCTGAGTAGTTGCTCCAGTTTTGACTTTTTATCGTTGTTGCTGTTTTTTTCCCCCCCAGTACAGCAAGCCACTGATTGAAAATCATTAGCTTTGCTGAATATTAAGGTAATAAACACTATGAAGACAGTGTTTATGATTATTATAGTTTGTATCTGGCTATGTAGAAATACTTATATATGTTTTAAGGTCTCTATTTCGTGAGAATTTATTCCAGCATTTTGTTGCCAAAAGAGCAGAAGGGTTGAATTAGATAAGTATTCTCCAGTTCTGTTGAGGTTGACTTGCAGAGTCTTATACTGTATATTTTGTGTTAGCCTTATGAAAGAATACAGCATGTACATATTCAATACACCACACCTCTTCACTGTCATATGGCATATAGCAAGTGTAACACCTCTACAGGGAATAATAAACTTGGCATCCTATGCTAAAAGTCAAAGTACTGGAGCCATTGACACAGTAGCAAAGTATATTAACAATTTTGATGGTTTAATCAGTTTCATTGTCATTCAGTTGTGTGTTTCACTTGCATGGACCATCATCATATGATCTGTAAATGAATAAATAAAATATGTGATTACTGAATTGCAGTTACCTCCTAGCACTCCAACCAGCTGCATCCCAGACACATCACAGCATGCAGTTAACAACTTTGTAGATCTAACGACAGAAACATCTGAGAATTCCAGTATATATTATTCCACACCAAATTACAATTGCAACACAACTTATTCATGCACATCCAGGATTCATTTTTTGACAGACATAATAAGAAAATTTATGTACTTGTATACTACACTGCATCCACAGTATAAAAAATTCTTCATCAGAATACTATAATATACCTTA